TTCACTGTGAATATCAAAGCCAATAAGCACCAAATCAAAGAAGCTGTAAAGAAGCTGTGTGACATCGATGTTGTCAAAGTCTGATTGAGGCCTGATGGAGAGAAGAAGGTGTATGTTTGGCTGGCTCCTGATTATGATGCATTGGATGTTGCCCACAAAATTGGGGTTATCTAAACTGAGTCTAGCTGGCTAATTCTAAATACATACTTTTTTCCCCCAGGGGAAAAAAAAAAGACAAGCCTGAGTTATCACACAGGGTGATGAAGCAAAGCAAACCCCAGTAGTTAGACATACCTGCAGAAAAGAGGAACTCAAAACTAGGGCATTCCAGCCTCTGATGAAGCAAGAGAGAAGGATACCAAGTCTGATTAATCACACACCAGAGCTTCCTGGTGGTCCCTGTCTTCTTTCCTTTCTAATCCAGAAGACAATTTTTTATTAACTATTTCCTCAGTGTCATTTTTTTGGGGGGCCAGCTCAGCCCACCCTGGGGGCAGGGCTGGCACAGCATGTGGTGCCAGGGATCAAACCATGGTCCCTGCATTCTTGCCTAAACTTGCCTGAGCAGGTGCTCTAGACCACTGAGCTATCTTGTCAGCCTCCTCTTCCATGTAATTTTTAGTAGCTCTAGTAGCTTTAGAAACTTTTTTATAATAGGTGGATTATTTTAGTAATACGAGTTTGTAGTACCTAATGATCACATTCCTCTTGGGAAGTTGGAACATGTACAAAACATTTAAATAGAAATCTTTTTGAAAAGGAATTCCACTTCATTCCATTTTTTAAAGTTTGGGAGATTTATTTTTCAGAGTTTAATAATAAAAGTTTATTTGTGAGTCTCTAGTTGGCTGGGGGTTCTACTATATCGTCACCATTGTCCATGATACTGGCCAAAACAAAACATAAACAAGATCCAGGAAGCAATGGAATGGAAGATACAGAAATAACTCCAAGCAAACTGAGCCACCTCAACCAAACACCTTCACTGGAAGAAAGGTAGCTTCTTTAATGGTTCTAGGAACACTAGGTTTCCACATGCTAGAAATTAAGCCTAGACCCATACTTCTCACCATGAACTAAACAAATTGAAATGGATTGAATATCTAAATACTGAAACAGCTGGAAGACAGAATAGGTAATACTCTTGAAGACATAGGTGTAGGCCAGGACTTTATGGACAAGACCTTGATTGCACAGAAAATATTACAAAGGATCAACAACTGGGATCACATTATGTTGGAGACTGGGCTGTTACAGGGTTAAGTTTCTGAATACAGGAACATCTGGCTGTGTTGGGTAAAAGCATGTGTGTGGAGGACCACCTGGGTGACTCCTTGGAAGAGGAGCAGTTGGGTCTCCATTTTGGCTAAGCCTGACCCTATTTCTATGGATTGATATGTACAAGCTGGCTAGGACTGTTCCTTATCCCTTCAATTGGCTTTAAGCAACACATGTTGGTCTAGCCGAGGTACTGATGATAGTCTTTGTTTCCCCGGACCCCCAATCTGCTCTTTGATATTTTAAGAAGGCATGAAGGGCCAGTGCTCCACTCTGTCGGCTGGGATCAAGCCTTGAGGTAGAGGCTATGACTTCCTGGGGCTTGAAAGATTATACATCAGAGCTGAAGCACAGATCCC